GTTTAAAAAGCTAAAAACCAATACAGTCTATTCACCCCCCTCTAGACTGTATCCAGTACAACCGGGACCAACAAATATGCCTGATGATGACTTCATCAAAGTGAGTCACAAAAAACACAGGAAGAAAGATGAATTAGAGATACCGCCCAGAATTACAAGAAATACTACAAGAAAGAAGGATCATACAGAATCAATGGGTTCTGTGTCTAATGCTCTTAACTATTTTGATTAATGAATATTTTACTATGGAATACTAGAGGTCTGGACTCTTCTTGTTCCAGGCTTTGCTCCTTAGTGAAATGTTGGAAGATTCAAGCTCTTTTTATCATTGAACCTATTGTTAATAGCAATCGAGCCAGTCAGTTTATGTATGAGTTGGGTTTTCAGAAGGTTCTTTTTTCTGACATTAACAAAATTTGGATTTTTTGGAATCCTTATGAAATGTCTATCTCAGATTTTACCTGGCATCTTCAGTTTGTTCACATGAAAATTAAACAAGGAGATTTTTCTGGTTGGTTCTCTGCCATCTATGGGGGTCACAACTACATTACTAGAAGGTCTCTTTGGAGTGCTCTTTCTCATATTGCTACCAGTATGGATGACCCATGGATTGTAGGGGGAGATTTCAATGCAATAGCTTCTCACTGTGAACATAAAGGAAATTCTGTCCCTAATTTTACAAGCATGATAGAGTTTTCAGATTGTATTAGTGTTTGTGATTTGATTGACCTGCCTCATGTGGGTCCTTATTTCACCTGGTCAGGTAACAGATCCAATGGGAGAGTCTACAGAAGACTGGATAGGTGTTTGATCAATAATAAAATGCTTCATTTCTTTAGTCGGATTCAAATTTCTATTCTTGAGAAAACCCCTTCAGATCATAATCCTATACTCCTACAGTGTCATCAGAATTCCTCTAATGGTCCAAAGTCTTTCAAATTTAAAAACATATGGCTGACTCATCCTGGTTTTTTAGACACTGTTAAAAAAGTTGGCTCTCAAATTCTTTTGGAGGAGGAATGAAAGGTTCAGTGTCTAAATTGAAATGCCTTAAAAATGACTTAAAGACTTGGAATAGAGAATTTTTTGGCAATCTCTTTGATGACATCAAATATTGTGAAAATTTGGTTCAACAAGCTGAGCAGGAATATGATAATGATCCCAGTGCTAGCAATAGAGAGAATTGGTCGCACTCGAGAATTGGTTTTATCTCAAAGTCGGCCGCCTCTACTGTTGGTGCGCTTATGCTATCATCCTCGATGAAGCTTGGCGTGAGATTTTGCAGCACCGTCTTTTGGTCCGTCATGATTGGTTTCTTGTGGATCAAAAGATTTTTGCACAAAGTTCGTTCAGGTTCAGGATTAAGTTCAAGTAGCCCTTCCACTCCTTTAGAGCGGGTGTGCATTCATTTATCCTGAAATCTTTATACAAATGTCGCAAGTGCGAAAAAGTCTCCCTAACTAGAATTCACCTATGCTAGAACTAGATTAAGAAATTACCGTGCCATTCCCCGGCAACGGCGCCATTTGATATCCGCTTTCGCGGCGTTGTAGTAAAACGGAGTCTAACCTTTCGGTTTTTCCCCGGGAATCGTGTCTCTTGAGGAATGGCGGAGGAGTTTTCTTAATTTAGTCTTAGTCACGGGCTATCGCTAATTGTTGGAAGCTTTTTCAATACAAAAAGGGTGATTGTATTCTAGACCAGGCCAAATTGCACAATTACACTAGGAGCAAATTTCAACTAAAAGATTTAAGATTTAAATATTCTAAAAAATTATTGAGGCAAGTAAGGGCAATGAATTGAGTAATTGGAAATGGATATATTCTTGGACCTAGTAATTAGGGGAATTAAAACAACAATTGGACTAATAATTTCTTTTCTCATAGACAAGAATAGAAATTACTTTCATTAATTTATCCTATTTCTAGGTTTCATTAATGTATTCAAAAATGGTTGGCTTGAATTAAATTCTAATCTCATAGACAAGGCAGAAATAATTCTCCAAAATTTTAATTAATAAAAATAGCCAAATTCATTAACTAATTAAATTCATTATTTAAGCAATTTGAATTTAATTCTCATAGACAAGATGTAAATCCATTTCATTAAAATTATCCTATTTCTAGGCCTTATTAATGTGCTTGAATAAAGTTGGCTCAAATTACTTTCTAATCTCATAGACAAGTTAGAAATAATTTTCCAAAATTTAATTAATGAAATTCGTTAAAAATTATTAATTACTAATTCATCAAATTGAATAACTAGCTCAATTAATTAATTTTAACCCCTAAATTTCGGCTAACAAGTCAATCCATATTCCTTTACTCAATTCATGCCCAAAACAAATTTAGCTACTAAACATTATTTTTGCATTCAACAATATGGTAAATAAATTAAACGTTAACAAGGAATTAAACATGTATAATAGAAAAAATTAAACAAAAATAAGATATTGTCAAAATAAACTTTCTGGAACTACAATATGACTTTTTGGAATTTTTCACTAATTTTTAAACCTAAAATCCAATTTTAACCCTAATAAACTAGGGGTGATATTACAGTGAAATAAACTGGAATTAGGGCCGAAACTATTTTTTTTTCTATTTTTGTGTAATTAATTTAATTTATGCAATAATGACACCTAATTACCGAAATTAATTAAAAAAAATACTTGCACTTCGTGAAAATTAACTTTATTCAGATAAATAACGACCTTGAGGCTAGTGAACAACTATATAATTAATTGGAATGAATTCAACATCAACAACTATTTTATTTAATTTATGGAAGAAAATGCGAAATACTAGATAAATATTCTGGAAAAATTCGAAGAACAGATCGAGCAAACAAAGCACAGATTCAGATTCTACTCGTTGAGAAGATGAAAATACATATAAAGAACTTACAATTTGAAGCTAAAATGAAGAAGATATGAAGATTTGAAGTTTCTCTCTCCCAAAAATCCTTGGAGCTGCGGAAATAGCTGAAGAACAGGGCCTTTTTGAACTGAATTAGGGTTGGAAGAGGTGTGTTTGAGTTCAGCAAAAATCGGGGTATTTATAGCACAAAAAATCTGGCAGGCGGCCAAACAGGCGACCGCCTCTGGTCCTGGCCCGACTGCCTTCCGTCACGTCACCGACATGACGTGACGCCGGTCAACTCGTCCGCCGCAGGCGGTCCAGCAGGCGGCCGCCTGCCGTTCCTGTCTGGCCGCCTGCCGTCAAATCCCACCGGCCGGTGGTTGGTTCGTCGCCTTGTGCCGCAGGCGGCCATCAAAGGCGGCCGCCTTCCGTCCAGTGTCGGCCGCCTTCCGTTTTTCTCCGGTCCGGTCAAATTTGATCAAAATTGACTTTTTTCAAAAGTTGGGAGGCAGCCTGGTAGGCGGCCAATCTGGGCGCCTGTGAGGTTTTTTGTCCGTCTTGTTCTGAATTTTGTGCTCTTCAACTTTTCCTTCTCGACCACTTTGAAATTCTGCTTCCTTTTTTCGGTATGATATCATTTGTTACTCAAATTGACGCATTTTGTGCCAAATTGACCCGAAATTTCATCAAACATATCATGGATGTGATTTTTACCTGATTTCACGAAACTTGAACCAAAATATATAAAACATGCCTTGTTTTTCTGTTTTTCAGTCCAAAATCACTTAAATTTGATAAGAAAAATAAGTACAAAAATGGACTTATCAATCTCCTCACACTTAAGCGTTGCTTGTCCTCAAGCGACAAATTAGTTGCAAACACACTCAAAAAGGGTAAAGCCTGACTGAAACATAATCGAATTGCTATTAAAGAAATGGAAACAAAACTCTCCCTTTTTATTGTCATTTTTTAAACATTTTAGAAAAATCACCCAAAATACAAGAATTTAAAATTATTATTACTAAAAAAAACTATTGATTACGTTAAACCACCGATCAATTCCTTATCCCAAGGTTTTCATTATTCTAATTTGGACATTTATCTTATTCACAAAATATATATATATATATATATATATATATTGTCTCTTTTCCACTCTTGTTGGCGGTGTTATCCCATGGTAGATGCATATTTCATTCTCACAGACTATGATTAATGAATGAAACAGAGCCCCTTTTCGGAGATGGAATTGTCCTATAACAATGAGTTTTGAAGAGATTTATTAATAATAGTATTTTTTTTATGAATAAAATGAATGTCCAATTAAAACAAAATTAACCCCTTACATTCGCAACCAAAAACCCATAACAATTTCAAGTTTTCTAAAAATAATAATAAAAGTAAATTCTTATAATAAGGGTGATCCTCTAAGCTATTATGTGATTGATAACAATTGAGAGGTGAATGTTTCATATCAAAAATAGTAAAAAGATTGATCTAAAACAAGCTTTTAACTTTTTGAATGTAAAACGCAACCTCCTCACACTTGAGCTGGACCTCGCCCTCGAGGTCTGCACAAAGTTTAGAAATAAAGGCACATTTTTTTGGTTCTTTACTCACACTTGAGTTTTGAAAAGATTTTGTGAAGAGGAATATTGAAAACAGGAATAAAAATGTTTTAAAAATTCTTACAACATCCATAGCTAGTTTGTGAGAGCATTCAAGTCAAAAGAGCAGCGCAATGTCCAATCCTGAATAAACAAACAAACAAAAATAAATGTCAAGGAAGAAGCAAATCTAGGCATCGCCCGTGTCATCCCGTGATCCATGATTAGGCCGCAGCCACTCTCGTATCTCCTCAATATCCAGTCGCTGGGTCTCTAGCTGCTCCAGAATATCCCTGTTGGCTCCCTCCTGTGCCAGTCTATAATCTTTGAACTCTCCCAGGGCCGACGCATGTGCCTCTCGCATCTCCCGAAATGCTCTCTCCTGTGCACCCTGAAAATCTACGAATGAGGTCTGAAGACCCCTCATCGCGTCCATCATCGCACTCCAATCTGAGGCACTAGGCATGTCCGAGGCTGGCTCACCAGGTCTCCTGTGTGGTGGGGCTCGAGAAGAGCTACTCTGCTGTGTCGACTGCTCAATGCCCGGTAGCTCCTGAGTATTTCGCTTCTTCTTGATCCTCATGTTCCCAAAGGATGAGGATCTAAGAATGCGAATGCTATCCTGTAGTGGGAGTAGATCTGGAATGTCTAGGTCAGGATAGAAAGACCGGACGAGAGTAGTGACGAAGGGCCCTGCCTGGATCGTGCGGCGAACACTCTTCCCCTGACTCCGGAAGAAACGAGCCAAGAGGACTGCCATATTCACCGGGGTGCGGTGAACCAGACTCCAAAAGAATAGGATGTCCTTTTTGGACAACCTGTTCGTGTTGTTAGGTCGTCCAAAAAAAACCACAAGAGAGTACAAAGGAGAGTATATACCAGTGAGTCTGCCTCCACCGGCTCGACTGGGGGTGCATGCGGAGGAACGGTCTGGTGTCTGTGGAGTGCTTGTGCCAGAACTCATCAATATCAAATGCCTCAGGTAAACGTGTCGGGAGAGCACAGAACTCGTCTGTCTGTGTATATGCAGGAGCATAGAGCCCAATCCTCCATCCGAGCTCAGCCACAGTGATGGAGTGCTCGATGCCCATGATAGTGAATCTCATCTGAGTCGCCGGCCTAATGACAGATCCCGTGCGCACAGTGTGACCGTAGTGAGTGAAGCGTAGAGAGCATAGGAACTCCATCGTCAATGGGAAGCTGGCTCTCTCCTGTATGGATAGAATCCCACGCCACAAGGAATCTCCTAGTAGAACATCAATGTCGGCCCAGTATCCCCATTCCTCGAGCATCCTCTGATCCAAGATCATGGGAGCTAGAAGAGTGCGGTACTGCCCCCACGTCTGGAAGCGTGTGCGGTCAGCATCAGTAGCGAATGGGATATTTGGTACGTGCAATGGGTCATGCCTAGCCAGTGGTGGCTCCTGAAAGATGGGATCGTCGCTTCCTCCTCCAGACATCTGCAAAAAAACAAAATAACATATTTTTTAAGGTTATTTTTTTTTGTGTTGGGTTGCCTCCCAATGAGCGCTTCTTTAACGTCACTAGCTTGACGAATTTCCTCCTTTGGTTCAAAATTTCTGGAGATAGAGAATCTCCTTGCTTTTTTTGACCGGGCCACCGTGGTAAAGTTTGAGTTGGTAGCCATTGACCTTGAAGGGACCCCCGCATGCATCTTCGATCTCGATGGTGCCATAGGGGTAAGTTTTCACGACCGTGAACGGTCCGAACCATCTTGATTTCAGTTTTCCCGGAAAAAGTTTTAACCGGGAGTTGAACAGTAGCACCTTGTCCCCAGCATTGAAACCACGGGCCTTGATGTGTTGATCATGATAGAGTTTGGCCCGTTCTTTGTAGAGTTTGGAATTATTAAAAGCTTGCGCTCTCCACTCTTCCAGTTCATTTAGCTGGTAAAATCGTTCTTTCCTTGCAGCGTCAAGTTTGAAACACACATTTTTCATCGCCCAAAGTGCTTTATGTTCAAGTTCAACGGGTAGGTGGCAAGACTTCCCGTATACTAGGCGAAATGGGGTGGTTCCAATCAGGGTTTTGTATGCGGTTCGAAATGCCCAAAGTGCGTCGTCAAGTTTAGTTGACCAGTCTTTCCTGGTCTGGGCAACAGTTTTCTCTAAAATGGACTTCAAATCCCTGTTAGCGTTCTCAACCTGCCCCTGAGTCTGGGGGTGGTACGCTACTCCGCTTCGGTGCTGGACTCCATATTTGGCCAAAAGTCGGGTCATAGGGTCATTATGAAAATGAGTCCCTCTATCACTGATCAAAACCCTAGGCACATCAAACCTCGTAAACAACTTTTTCAGAAAATTCACGACTATTCGAGAGTCGTTGGTGACGCAGGTCTGAGCTTCAACCCACTTAGAAACATAATCAATGGCCACAAGAATGTATTTCTTCCCTCTTGAGCTGGGAAAAGGTCCAACAAAGTCGATGCCCCAAATATCAAATACCTCACAAGGTAATATATAGTGTTGGGGCATCTCATTGCGCCCAGAAATGTTCCCGATTCGCTGACAGTTATCACACGAGGAAACAAATACATTAGCATCTTTAAAAATCGTGGGCCAGAAGTACCCACAGTCCAGAACCCGTCTGGCAGTTCTATTCCCTGAAAAGTGCCCCCCAGTAGGACCGTTGTGACAATGTTTCAGTATGTCTCTTCCCTCAGCTTCAGTAACACATCTTCTCACCACCTGGTCAGCACAAATTCGGAATAGATATGGATCATCCCAAAAATAGTGCCTTGCTTCTGACAGGAACCGCCTCTTCATGTGCCTTGTTAGGTCGGTAGGCTCGACGTTACCAACAAGGTAGTTGGCAATGTCGGCATACCATGGTGTTTGTTCCTTGGCGGAAATTGCCATTAACCTCTCCGCAGGAAAAAGTTCCTCCACCTCGCATCTTCCAAAGGTTTCTGCTAATTCGACATCTAACCTTGAAAGGTGATCAGCTGCCTGATTAGCAGACCCTTTTCGGTCCCTGATTTCAATATCAAATTCCTGCAACAAAAGAACCCAGCGTAACAGTCTAGGCTTAACATCATGCTTTTGGAGGAGATATCTAATGGCCGAATGATCGGTATAGATAATAACCTTCGAAAGAATGATGTAAGTCTTAAACTTCTCTAAACCACAAACAATAGCAAGGAATTCTTTTTCAGTCGTGGTGTAGTTCAGTTGTGGTCCGGATAGAGTTTTGCTAGCGTAGTAGATCGGGTGGAAGTTCTTGTCCTTCCTTTGGCCGAGAATGGCTCCCACTACTAAGTCACTAGCGTCACACATGAGTTCGAAAGGTAAACTCCAATCCAGGGCCACAAGTACTGGAGCATTGATAAGTTGTGTTTTAAGTGTTTGGAAAGCTTGGTGACATTCATCAGAGAATATAAAAACCACATCTTTTTCAAGTAACCGGGTGAGAGGTTTTGCGATTTTAGAGAAATCCTTTATAAAACGACGATAAAAGCCCGCGTGTCCCAAGAAACTGCGGATGACTTTTACCGTGGTTGGTGGAGGGAGTTTCTCTATCGTTTCAATTTTCGCACGGTCAACCTCGACCCCATTACTTGACACTTTGTGTCCAAGTACTATACCCTCTTTCACAAGGAAGTGACATTTCTCCCAACTTAAGGCTAATTGGGTTTCCTTGCAGCGGATAAGTACCTTTTCCAGGTTTTCAAGACATTTTTCAAAGGATTCCCCAAAAATAGAGAAATCATCCATGAATACCTCCATGAAGTGGCCAATGTATTTTTCAAATATGGCAATCATGCACCTCATGAAAGTGGCAGGAGCATTACAGAGACCAAAAGACATCCTACGAAAAGCAAAGGTCCCAAAAGGGCATGTGAACGTAGTTTTGTCTTGGTCTTCCGGGTTGACATGAATTTGGAAGTATCCACTCATGCCATCCAGGAAACAATAATGACCATGGCCTGTCAACCTCTCTATTAATTGATCGATGAAGGGGAGGGGAAAATGGTCCTTCCGGGTGGCTTCATTCAATTTGCGGTAATCAATTACCATTCGCCACCCGGTAACAATTCGACTGGGCAGAAGTTCACCCTTTTCATTTTTCGTGACAGTCATTCCCCCCTTTTTGGGGACAACATGAATCCGGCTTACCCATTGGCTATCAGAGATGGGGTAAATGATACCCGCATCCAGCAGTTTGACGATTTCAGCACGCACTACTTCCATCATGTTTGGGTTCAAACGTCGTTGTGGTTGGACGACGGGTTTAAACCCTTCCTCAATCTTGATGGTGTGGGTATAAAAGGTTGGACTTATTCCATTGATGTCCTCAAGTTTCCAAGCAATTGCTTGCTTGTGTGTCTTAAGGACTCCAAGTAATTTGCCCCTTTGTTCCTCACTTAAGTGTGCGGCGATGACGACAGGGCATTTGCCTTCGTCATCCAAGAATGCGTATTCTAAATGGTCAGGGAGTTTCTTTAGTTAGAGGGGGTGGTCATTTCTTAAGTTTGTTCATTTTTCTCCCCCGAACTCAGACATTACTTCGTGAGAAGCTTGCTCAATTATTACGTCCTCACAACTCTCACATGCATCACTCATGTCACTGTTTGCTTCTTTTAACAGACATGCTTTATCACTTACATGTCCATTCTCTCCCCCAAACAGATATCCTTCAATTGATTCGAAAGTATCAAGAAAATGGCATCCTTGCAAGGAATCTATGGGGTGTTTCATAACATCGGAGAGTCGGAAGGTGCATAAATCATCTCCAACTCTTAGAGTTAATGAGCCATCAGTGACATCAATCAAGGCCCTGGCGGTAGCCAGAAAGGGCCTTCCCAGAATAAGAGGTGTTTCCCTATCCTCTTCCATGTCCATTACTACAAAGTCGACTGGGAAAATGAATTTGTCAACCTTGACCAAGACGTCTTCAATAATTCCTTTCGGATATTTGACTGAGTGATCAGCCAGTTGAAGACACATCCTGGCGGGTTTCATTTCCCCAAGTCCTAGCTTCTCGACAATAGAGGAGGGCATCAGGTTGATACTCGCCCCTAAGTCAGCTAGAGCATTATTGAAATTGAAATTTTCAATTGAACAAGGGATAGTGAAGCTACCTGGATCCTTCAGCTTTTCAGGTATTGACCTTAGAACCACCGCTGAGCATTCTGCATTTAGGTCCACGACTGAGAGCTCCTGCAGCTGTCTCTTGTTTGTCAGCAAGTCTTTGAAGAACTTGGCATATTTTGGCATCTCCGCCAATGCATCCATCAGTGGCAGGTTGACGTGGAGTTGTTTGAGTAGGTCTAGGAATTTGTTGTATTTCCTACTATCGTCATAATTTCTAACCCGTGAAGGAAACGGGAGAGAAGGTTTGACAATGGTGACCTTTGTGTTAGGGCGTGTTGGTTCCATGCTCTTTTCAGTTGGAGCATCAATATGTTTCTCAGGTGTCATGCTAGGTGTCTCCTCCTCCTCATTGTTCTTTTGCTTGTCCTCGCTTGTTTGTCTCCCACTTCGGAGAGTGATAGCTTGCACATGTTCACGAGGATTAGGTTCTGTAGTGCTAGGCAAATTGCCAGGCTGACGACCGGGAACATTATTATGAGTAATTTGCATCATCAGAGTTTTGATCTGATTGTCAGTGTTAGCTTTGTATTTTGCCATTTCCTCCGGTTGCCTTGCTAGTTCAACTACCAACAAGCCTATCTCCGAGGTTTGGGCCGCCTCTGTTTGTCGTATATGTGGGGGCACGTAAACCTGATTGTTCTGGGTTGATTGGTTTACTGCCCCTCCTTGGCTTCGCCCGTGGAAGTTGTGCCCTTGATTGTTGTTGATGGGGTAGCTCTGGTTACCTTGGTAACCTCCACGAGGAGGACCATTGTTGTAATCCCCCCGCCATTGGTTGCCCTGGTAATTTCTCCCCTGGTAATTCTGGGGAGGGTAATTTGTGTTACCCCCCTATTACCTTGATTTGCCCATGGCCCTTCTTGTTTCGTTCGGCCATATTCCAGCATGTTTGCCTCCCTGTTGTTACTTACATTACAATCATCAACTAATTGACATGAATTGGTCAAATGCGGACCAAAACATATCTCACAGGAGAGTACAAGTTCAGTAGAATTAGAAACAGGTGAATAAACATTAAA